ATTTCCTCACGTTACAGCATGTAATGGTCCGTTTTACACAACAACAATACCCGGTCAATGTCTCTTGTCTGTCCAGTGACGCCGGCGAGAAAATAACTGATGAACAACAACATAGTCCGAAGTTACGTGACGTCATAATGGCACTAACACATTTCCAGATATGAGGACAATCACATCAGATACCGTCGTACACATCCTAGCACGTGTTCTATCGCTAGCCACGTGCTTACAAAGATTCCGCGTTCACCATCCCCAATCACGCAAACCAATACTCACGACTGCCTCTATCGCCGTGCCGGTATTGTTTTGGTCCAGATGAGCGCTCTCTTGTGATTATGACCGACAGGTGTCCTTCTGCCGTTGTCCCTCGCGTTCATTCACAATTAGCGACTCCACATGCAGGTAGGTTTCCAGGGAAACGTAATATCAAAGATTATCCCAACTACATAATGTATATACTGGAATCGATTTGTCCTGTTTCTTCTGAAGAAAAAAGTTCTGTCGATGAGGAAGACAAGCTGTGTTAACTTGGGTATAAAACAAAACAAAAACAATTAAAAGCGTTAGCTATAGATCTACACTAGTATCAGTGAAACTGTGTTCACTGTGACTCCAGGACATCAGGATCGATGCTTTGGGTAGTTTCGAGTGTTTCTCGCCAGCACAAAGACGTTAAATCAATATCAAATCCCTGAACGATAATTGAAATCGATTTCCTCAGGTTGGTTCCTAATGTGAAGTCCTTTCCAAAACAAAGACGTCACGTCAGGGAGTTGTCCATGGGGTATAGTATCGCCCAATGATGTTTGGAACCTTCCAATACGGACCTCCGTTACGGTTATACGACCTTAGAACCGTCAGACAGGGTTCTAACGTAACGTTACGCTCACACATTCAAAGTCCAATGTCTTAGAAAAGATTAATTCATGTTATTTTCAATTGTTAAAAAAAATGATGGTATGTTCAGATCTCTGTTCCAAATGCAACTCCGGTAAAACCCTTCTATGGTGTTATAAGCGTCTTACTTTGCCACAGAAGATCGATTATAATCATATTCACTTTAGAAGAATCAATATTTCCCTAGCATTACGTCCTGCATTTGAAGCCGATGTATGTACTTCGATATTTCTCGAATGAAGCAGACAAATGTTGAAGGCAATGGCGATGTGTATAGTTCAATACTTCTGAATCACAATTACCATTATTTGAAGCTAATGTATACTTCAATGCTTCTCTACATACGTGTTTACACTTGAAGCCGACGAATACTTCAATATGTCCGAAACATAATTATCACTGTTTGAAGCTAATGTATACTTCAATGCTTCTCTACATACGTTTTTACCATTGAAGACGACGAATACTTCAATATGTCTGAAACGTAATTATCACTTTCGGAAGCTAATGTATACTTCAATAATTTTCTAACATACGTTTTTACACTTGAAGCCGATAGATACTTCAATACTTCTGAAACCTCAATATCACTGTTTGAAGCTATTTGTTTACGTCAATGCTTCTCTAACTTACATTTATGACACTTGAAGTTGTACTATATATAGCTATAATACTTCGTAAGTTTGCGTACAGCGTTTAACACAGGCATCAATTAATCTCCCAGGTTGTTGTTTAGTTGTTTATCCCCATGTTATTTCCTCGTTAATTCCTTGTTTATCCCTAATATGGTGGTGTGTCTTTGTTTATTCTTGATGGCGTTTCTTCGTTGTGTATCCTTGATGAATTTTCGTTGTATATTTTCTGCCGAGTTTTCCTTGTGTATCCCTGCTGAAGTTGCTTCTTTAATCCCTACCGAAGCTCCGTTTTTTCGATGGTGTTTTATGTATCCCTAACCCATGAGTACGGTACATGTAGTACTAAAAACCATGGACACGGAATCGACGTTTCAGAAATCAATATGTTGTCGACCTCGGCAAACAAGGGTGAGAGAGAGATTGAAGTGGGTCCATAAATTTAGGTAACAAGCATGCTCCCCGGGAGCACGTGTTCCATCACACCGAGCACGCTTGTCTCCTACTCCGGTAAACAGTAAACCTTCGGGCTAAGTGATTCTGACACGAGGAATCGAACAAGATTCAAGTCAAGCTAATTTCCCTCTCAGATGAAATTCCGGCCGTTAAAAACACTCGAAACACTTCTCTGTCGGAAATGAATGTCCATTTGTAGATGTCGGTTCGCCTCGAGCGAGGATTACGTTCGTGTCCGTAAGTGCATGTAGCTGGTAAATGCGTGCAATCTTCCCTTTCATTTAATTTCTGTACCAAAATTACTTTTCAAGATATTCAAAATCCGCATCTTAAACACAATCTCTTACAAGAATTTATCAATTTAGAAAAAGACACAATTTCCAAAGAGTAATAGTTCTTCTATGACCAAATTCTATACAAAGACATCAGAAGCAAATTGATCCGTAATCCGCCGAGCCGACCTTTCAAATAGCTACGTACAGGTGGGTCACCCACTTCATCATAATAAAATCCATTGTTTACCCATCGTGTATTTGCAACACAGGTAGATAATGCAAAGTCAATATTTGGTCCCTTTACCTGTAATTACAAATATCTAGGTAACGTTTAAGAGTTTATCATTCACCAACGAACCTTTGAGACGCCAGTCTATAATTAATGTTAACGGATTTCCATCTTTAATGGGTTAGAATACAAAATTGTTGTTAGGCATATATAAACCGAGGTATCAATAGCGCGCCGATAACGACCCGTGCGTTCTGACTGACAAAATTAAGCTTATTACTTATGAACGCCAAGATGTCCCGAATCGGCAATCATTATTGACGTTTTACCGTATCATGTTTAAAAATCGAAAAGACAATTTCATATTTTGACTCAGATTCGGACTTGACCAGGTCCATGTCCATACAGAACGACTCCCAGTGTGTCCATTGCTAATAAGGAACACAGGTCGGAAATCAATATTTCAGCACTTGTGTCATATATACGTATCGATATCCGAACGACTCAAAAACGTTAACAGACATTAACAGACCATAAGCCTTACAGATGTTTCATTTTTTTAGAAAGTTTATAGCACTTTGTACCATATACACCTGTAAATATTCTATCAATTCATAAAGACAATGAAAAAGTTGACAGAGCTTACAGTTTGACGGGAGTAAGTACGTATTTACCTACCCTGTTTCGTGACAAACATCGATATCCCTCACACGCGCAGTAGGGTTCCCTATCGTACATACGTCACCAACCAGTGTCCACCCACGTCAATGATGGAATACTGTCAATCTATTTTAATAACCCGTACCGGTCAACAACATCCCGGTCAGTGTGGATCGATATAGCGAGGCCACATTCCTATCCTACCGTTATAGATAGAGTGGAACCTACAAACCGGCCTCACTGCACCAACTTCAAACCTTCTCACCATCATCACGGCAAAATTACTTCACAGAAACATTATTACACCTATAACAAATGGAAATTTTATGGACCAAAAAACTAGCTTCTTTCTATATTTATACTTTCATTAGATCTTCCGTTTGAATGAAATTGCGTCAAACTAGCTTCCCTGGCGATGCATAATTTATTTCACTTGCGACAAATCCATTCTGGTGCAATGGGGTCTGCTACTTCATGAAGTATTGTCAGCTTCATATGTCCCAATATGTGACAAACGCAATACAATACAAATATCTACGTTAAGCTAACCAGATATTTATTGATCGAGTGAAATTGAAAATACATATTAGCTTAACATGTATATTGGTCCATGCAAAATGGTAATTACGAATATTGTTCACGGGGTAATACGTCATCAAATCTCTGACAATATATAGCGACAAGATAGCGATCTCGTTCCTCGCCGGCGTTGCAAAATAGGTTTTGTTTCCGTACACGTCTGCTGTGTGGGAGATTGTCAAATATTGCCAGTATCTGGTCTAACAACATATAAGGATGGTTTTACTCTCTCCTAGCCTACTAATCAACACGTGGGTTATAATGTCATTCAGGTCCTGTGTGACACGCCCACGCTCCAATGACTGTTCACGACATCAGTCCCGATGGGTTTGACATCCCCGCCCAAATATTCATAGACAGATTCGACGGAATAATGTTCATTGACACGAACACACAATAAAAGGAATAAAATTTATCATGGGTCTCTGGTTTTATTGCTTCTTGATTCGGACCAACTAGCCAATAATATTAAGGTTACATAATTTGATAGCCTTATCTGTCTCATGTTTTCAATCCTGCCAATACCATCTTGATAGTATGCCAATATCAAACAGACATGGTGGTCTAAATTAACATGGCGCTTGCTATGTTAGCTTGACACAACATTCCCTGTCTAAATGTCTTAGATGTGTTTTTTCGCTAAGGTTTTTTCGTATGAGTCAGAGGGCCTTTAATAAGACCCGTGTTACTAGAAAGTACGAAACACCACCCGCTAAGACACTAGTATGCATGCACGGTCATCGATTTCTTACAACTTACTCACGGAACAACCTTTAAATCATTCTTGGCACCTTCAAGTCTAATTCAAAAACATTTAACGACTTCATCGATTTCCGAATCTACAGAAAATTCTTCAAACAAACGAGACCCAGTATTTTAACATTGTGGACAAAAGTAGACCTTATTGGTTCTGTATCAACTCGATCCTATAAACATTTGTATATACTTTCTCAGAGAGCGGTTCGCCTTCATCGAACGTGTGCCTTGTAAAATTGTTGACGGAAGCCATGAGTGGGCGTTGCTTAACGTCAAAACTCGAGTTAGACGGTGGTTTGGACAGGTCGTTAGCTCCGAATGTATTGATCACGTATGGGCAGCACGACATCGATAGACCAGATCGATATGTTATAGTACATACAAAAAGGGAACATAAAATCCGTGTTGGAGATGGTGCGAAAATCCCCATGGAAACTTGCGACACCAATTGGACCCGTCTCCGCCAATCGCTGTTGCGCCTACCGTTCAAGCGTTGTAACGACACTGATTTGATGCTATCAAGAAATGAAGAATGCCTGCAGGCGGGTAATTCATATAAAACTAAAGGGGAAACTGATGGTTTTAGGAATTGAAAAGGTAAGAACGATTTTTGAGTGTTTGTGCATCGGCACTTAGTAGGAATAGAAATTGTTTTGATGCATTTCTTCCAGCTGTTATTTTCTATTCATAAACTAATTTATAACACGGATTTATATTTAATCTTATGCTGTAGTTGTAAATAATGAGATTCTATCTCATTTTATTTAAACAGACTTGTATAACTGGTTTGCGTGTCTTTATACATTTCATTTTCATGACCAAGCCAAGCAAAGAAATACTGCGATGTACCAGACGGTCGTTTTTGTAACCCCCTTACGCATACAATTTAATACCATAACATGGGTGTCAACCGACAAAATCACAACACGGCATTACAATATCTTCAGATATAAGCTTTCATATTAACTATGAATGACAAAAGCAGGAATTATGGTACCGATTCGCCAGTAGACCTCAAACCGGTGTGGATGTTCAAATATAGCTTGATAATAACTTATGTAGAAGAAAACGTGATATAGCGGCGACAACAATTGAACGCATGGTGGCTTGATCAACAAATCCAATCACGCCTTTTGACTAGGACCGTTTAGTTGACCTTGTGAAAGACGAAACAAGAAGGGAGGTCGCAACGGTGTTGTAAATTACCAGAACGAACACTTCATAAACGAATGGCAATATTCTAAATAAGTTTATAAATGTGGAGATTTCGACCAAGCGACAAATACGAGGCTGAACCATAACGTCTGATCAGCTGTAAAATGGACGACGGACATTGTAATACCAATGTGTTGCGTACCACTCTCCTCGACGTAACATCAACTACCAATGTCAGACCAACAAGTCAAAAATCAATTGTTTATGTCCGTTCCATGATGTTGGAACATTGGTAGTTTATGTTTCATGATAAAACAGCAAGAAATTTCTAAACCTGAGAAAACTACAACATTTTACATTCTGGATGGTGCGGTTTGTTTATTAATTGTAGCGTTTTGAACAGCAGATATACTCCAACGAAAGTTGGATTGTAAACATACATTTAACGCCCCTATCATCAGTAAATGATACATTAGCCGTGCTCCCCGCTGTGATTCTTACATTAGCTATCTTGTTATAGTTTACAGACAAGCTATAATCCCTGTGGAGATATCATGTTCAGGAAGTCACACACGACAAACAACAGATGTCATCGAAATAGTTAATCAAAGTTTGGTGTTGTCATTGGCATAACGATATGAGCGTGTTGTGGCAAAACTAAGTTGCATCTCTTTATGCAAATTCAAGTCAACTCAATGCAGACGAAGGATATAAAGGGATGGATTTGTGCACACAAGTCATCGTTTGGGTTTATTCTAAACTTCCCAATTGCAATGGAACAATTCACGTCGAAATAGGCGTGATGGGCACAGGAATAGTATATTGTATGTCTAACGTTCGTCTAAATAGATAAAAAAAAATACCAATACATTATATTAATGACTCAGATCCATGACTTTGTTATTTGGAATCCCAATACTGTATAGTGTGCATCAGCCATCTGCAGTAAATCGTTATGTTGTTCAGAATAAGTAAAATTCACAAAAATATGTGTTCAATCCATTGTTACTTTTGGTAGTGTAAATCATCTAATGTTTGCTTCAAACATTGGTAAGTTCAATCGTTAATGCAGTTCTGAAGTTGAAAAAAGCACTAGTTTTACGCCGTATAAATCTAAGCATCATCTTGATGCCATCACTACTTCCTGTGTCTAGCTGTAAGTCGCGATTTCTCTTTGTCCAGTTGTTTGTTACGATTTCCTGTGTCCAGTTTGTTACGACTTACTGTGTCTAGATTAAATGACTTCGTGCAAGTCGCTATTTCCCGCGCCGTGTCTTGATGGAAACTACGATTCCTTTTTCCATCTGTTTGTTACAATTTCCTGTGTCTAAATGTAAGTTATGACTTCCTGTGTCGAAATGTTATTGATGACTCTCCGTGTCTAAATGTTTGTTACGACTTGCTATGTCCGGCTGTAAGTTACGATTCCTTTGTCCATCTGTTTGTTACGACTTCCTGTGTCTGGATGTAGGTTGCGACACTCGTGTTTAAATGTTTGTTACGACTTCCTTTGTCCGGCTGTTAGTCGCAACTTCCTGTGTCAGGTTGTTTGTTACGACTTCCTGTGTCAGGTTGTTTGTTACGACTTCCTGTGTCAGATTGTTTGTTACGACTTCCTGTGTCTAGATGAAACGACTTCGTGCGTCTAGAGTAAGTCGCGACCTCCTATGCCTTGAAGTAAGTTACGATTCCTTTGTCCATCTGTTACGTTTGGTTTTACATCTGTGGTAATGTTTTACCATTGGGTCTAAAACCCATGGTAGAGTCACGTACGTTGGCTGTTTGCCGTAACAATGGGGTAATGACAAAGACAAGACATCGTACGTAATGATCCCTGCTGTCAGAAGCCCGGATTTTCTTGACGTTAAGGACGTTTTATATCGGAAAAATTGCTTTACATCGTGCTTTTACACACAACACTAGCTAATGCTGGTTTCGTAGTGTGATGTGATATGCTCTGGACACTTATCATGAAAGCTTGAGTTTAATGCCTATTTTTGGAAATTTCTTTAGTGAATACTTCAAACATTACTAATACAAAACCCACACATTTTCTGCTTCATGTCATACGCTATTTAAGTAGAATTATTTCCGATAGAAGACCGTTAAATCATAAAACTCACAAGTTTTAGATATTACACTATAAATGAGACGATAAGCACCTTGAACTGATACATACAGAAATGGACTGGTGAGATTTAGCCATGCTAAACTAGAATCCATTAGTATGCCGTGTTCGGACTTACCATACAAAGATATATTGAGATACAAGAGGACTGCATTAGGAGATTGTCGGGAGGGGCTTTCAGAGCAGACCGTGTAAAGGCCAACCAAAGCCAATCAATGTTCCACGAATACGGACGGGGGCACACAACAGACATATTCATGTTTACGCCAGTGTCTTCATGAATTTAAAAGCATGCAAACCACCTACATATATGTATTGAGGTTGATGCTGGGATCTGTTTAGGACTAAAAACACATTCATGTTTAAATTCATACCAAAAAGGCAACAAAGTTATGGTTGAAATCGTATCAAACCAAGTCCAACCAGGCAATAAGGTCAAAGTTAAAGCCGCATCCTGAAACCAGGACCAAACAGGCAACATATTTATAATTACACTACATGTAGCATCAATTATAATCCAAACATACAACATAGCCGTGCATTAACTGGTATCAAATTAACAACAAACAACGCATTCATGCGTTAATAGGTAGCTATTCACAAACAACGTAGTCCTGATATAACTCGTATCGATTTAAGACCAGCGTTAAGAAATGTGAAGTCTTCCCTTTAATTTTGGTTTCCGTTTGGTTCCTACTACAATCAATGTTCAAAAATTCAGTTAAGGTTTAACATTTCATTTAAAAATAACAATAACAAATCAGATATTCATGCAAAACCCATCGAGCTTCTTAAACAACTATGTGATATTGATATGCCTCCTGAACTAAAGTTTAAACATAATCAGTTAACAGATGAATACCGCTAACGTATTAAATAAGAAGGGCAAATATTCTACCCATAGATGAGTATTGCTATCTCCGACATATGAGATTGGTGGGCAGTCTATTGTAGATGATCGCTGCTTGCTTTACTATTTCAGCTGAAGCAAATCACCATTGCCAGCGTCTTCATTAAGAATGACAGATATTCTAGTAACAGTTAATCAACGCTAGCTTCTTCATTTAAGACTGGGGGGTATTTTATTACAAGTGATCAACACACGATCGTCACTTTCTGATACAAAAACAAATATCGAGAGCTTCTTCATATAAGATTTAATAATGCTGTTTTTACATATCATCGTCGCTAGCTTCTCTATACAAGACTGATGGCTACTCTAGATGACAATCGGTAACTTCAGAGTGATTAACGTAATACACACAGGCGATATCGATTGTACCATTGAAATAAGACTCAGGTTTATTCCTCGATATTCTACTTTCAGGTGACCATCGCAAGCGGTTATACGAAACGATGGGGGATCATCAAGACCACCGTAGGACGTTAACACAGAGCCAGGAGGCCAGATCTATACATTACCGGTAACACTGGTAATACAGAACGCGAAATGTCTGTGTTAAAAGTTAGTCACCTTTCTGGCAAATCTGTCATGGCATATCCTTTCTAATTTCACTGTTCATATACATGTATGTTCATATATTTATTTATTTTTTATATATTTGTTGAAAATGTCCTTTCAATTAACCTTTGAATAGCTATCCTCGATTGTAGCTCTTCCTAAAAATGAAAATGACGAGTAGCACAAATGTCATGAAAAATGGCGAGCCCATAATATAGTCTGAGAAAAATCATAAACTTGGCAGTTTGTAAAACAGGTTATTAAAGCCAGTAACAAGACTGTCGTGTCTAGTACAAGTACTGCCGTTGGCAATACAGCTTGTAAACAGCCAATCTTAGGCACTTGCTGATATTTACAACATCGAGAATCAAAAACATTTCTCTAAAATCCACATACATTGTATCATGTTGCACAGGCCAATTGTCTAGACCAGATCTAATTAAGGACGTTGCTTTTATTTCCTCAGCATGGGAGCGATATCGATGTGACTGTCAATGACACGACCGAGCTGACCACGTTGGCGTATTCAAAGATCCTGGCTTGTCCTGGTTAGCCAAAATCTCCTTTACTCTGGATAAAGGATGAAATGTGCCCTGATCCGACTTACATGCTGAAGAAGGTAATTTGGAGATCTTATCAATTCAGGGGAGACTACTGGAGTTTGTTTAAAGCTGCATTTAACGGTAAGGTTGCAAGAGTTATTCCCCTTGTCATCTTCAAATATAAAGACAGTACAACAAAAACAACATTTATTTTTGTCCAATTTATCTGAAAGCAAGCATGTCTGATTATTTGAAACTAGCTGAAAATGTGATTTTTTTTAGCATATACATGGTTACATTAGTACTGTTAAATAAAAGGAGTAAGAAGTCCCCTGTATGATATTTTTTGATAGTACAGTATTTTTTTCCATAAAAGACTACCAGTTAGTTCATATGTAAATGAAACAGCTGGATATTTGTTCCAAATTAAGACCTTATACCTTTAAGGAGGTTCACAACAATCCAATAACATGCAATTTCTTAATATATAGGGGTTGCCAGCAGTTTACTGTTTCACAAATTACTCAGCAGACTAGGAACCATTTTCAAAATTACTAACTAAATATTCAGAGAATACTCCTCCATAGAGACTAGTTATTATCAGAAGGTCTCTTTAAATGTGATTACTATTTTTTAATATTTTTTTGCCCTTATTGCACCATAATTGTTGGCAATTAGATCAGTTTCAAAGTTAATACATTTCTGTATCAATTTTATTTTGGGTAGGAAATTAAACAATTCTATTACACTGTAATCACCCCTATACAATTAATCTGACATTCAGTTTGTATAAGTGACCCATCAATGAAACAGAAACCTAAGCCTTAGCTTAGGCATCTACTCAGAATATTGCTGCAGCCTAACAAGGAAATCCCACAGAAACAGACATCATAAAACCATTTCGTCCATCACTAAAATAATTGACTTCAATTTGTTGTTTATCAAACTCAGGCTTTTTAAATATGTCAAGTAACATATTTCTTTTCACAATCCATGGGTATGGATCTATAAACACGTTATTTATCTAGAAAGGATCGTTAAAACACATGTATAATCATCAGATATTCTCTAATTCTGTCCTCATTTTGACACAACCAACAAAACAAAGCTAGGGGAGATATCTCCCATTCTAAACTGAGAAAAAAAACAAGTCTACAGGAAGATCTCAAATAAGGTGTTGGCTAAGGTCCACAAACTTGACAACCCTGTCAAAGATCTGCACCTGTGATTATATATCAGTAATATACAGACTTCATGTTTAATTATAGTTGAGGATAAGATATTTTGTGAAGATATGTATATAGCTGTCCCCTGGTTTTTATTCCAAGCTCACATCCAATCTTCTATAGTATAGGCTTTAATTATCACAGTAATTAAGTATCAAATCATATAACATGATATAAATAGCAACTTACACATCTCAATTTTTTGATTTCTAATGCCATAGAGCTGATACTGTGGCGATGGTGTAGTGGTTTGATTTCGTGAGGCGTATATTTCACGGTTGTCTGGATCAGAATAAGTTGGTAGGGATTAAATTTCGCACCACAAATTGATTTGTCAAAATCACATAAAAATATGACACTGAATTGTTGTGCTACATGTATCTTCATTATTCCGCAGTAAACAGGTCTTTCCTTATATCTCATTATATTCAGGGAATTACCAGGTAATATTCTAAGTATTCGCAGGTTATTTCATTTTGCACTATCTTTGGTGACTGCGAATATAGCAAAATTAAATCCACCGCAAATTTTACCACCTTAACAATGTTAAACATAATCGTAAAGCTGAAAATTTGGATATTAAACAACGTCACACATCCTATAGCCGAGACTGTCGCTTTTGAATAATGTCATACATCAAACAGTTGGGACTCAAGTTAAAGTAATAACTCATTCACCCCTGAAATTTCATAATGAAATATTCCAACCTTTGAATTGGAAGAGTTCAAATGTGTCTTTAGGGGTGAATGAGTTAAAAAAAGTACCCTGATTATAAATTCAGCCAAGACTGGTTGGTATTGAGCCCCTTTAAAGGCTGCATGAATCATAATCAATCGTCAAACATACATAAAAAATATATTTTATGACAGATGATTAAAAGTACAATCTGTCACACAGCAATTGATGATGTTATCATTTATAGATTCATAGATAGTTTTGTACATATTTATTCTCTGTTTAACTCTCACCTGGTCAATAATTTGTAATATGAACTATTGGTACAGTCAGATAGTATTATCGATTATTTCTCTGTCAGATGAACTTGATAAAAAAAAATGCGTCTGTCCACGTACCTGCTACATGTATATATTTTAGGGTGACTGACTGACATGTCCATAAATATTTTAAAAAGCCTCGTCTGTCAATATACCTATAATATAATCACAGGTACTAGCCTCGTATGTCAATACACCTATAATATGATCACAGGTAGCCTCGTCTGACGATACACCTTTAATATGATCACAGGTACTAGCCTCGTCTGACAATACACCTATAATATGATCACAGGTAGCCTCGTCTGACAATACCCCTATAATATGATCACAGGTAGCCTCGTCTGACAATACCCCTATAATATGATCACAGGTAGCCTCGTCTGACAATACACCTATAATATAATCACAGGTACTAGCCTCGTATGTCAATACACCTATAATATGATCACAGGTAGCCTAGTCTGACAATACACCTATAATATATATTATAGGTGAATAGGTATTGACAGACGAGGCTAGTACCTGTGATTACATTATAGGTGTATTGACAGATGAGGCTAGTACCTGTGATTACATTATAGGGGTATTGACAGACGAGGCTAGTACCTGTGCTAGGAGGTGAGAAAAGTAGTAGCCGAAGTTGCAGGGCAGTAAAATATTGAAACTTAAAGAACCTTTTTTTACACTAACTTACAAATTGTTTAACTTGCATGTACGAGGATATGTATCAGTTTCACCATGTTAATAGGGTTATGCAGGCCGGCTGCAAGAATTCCATCTTTAAAAAGGTTAGAATATACACCAGACATGCATTGTATTAATATAGCTTGAATTACATGAAAGGTAAATACAGCGTAGGTAATAACAAAATCTACGAACCAACAAATTACCCACACTGCACAAACTTTATCCACCACATCAAGAAAATTTCAATAGAATAAAAAAGTTTCGTCCTATACATCAAGAAATTTTCTAGACAACTAAAACTTCTATCCTAACAGAGCAGACAAGGTATGCAAATGGTGTGTCGTAACAGGTGTAGTTTATTATCAGAAGCTCCATACAGCTGTCTGTATAACAACATGTCACAGTGTCCCTTCTGTGGAGTAGACTAGCTGTCCATATGGTACAGAGTCTATTATATATACATTTGTAGGTGTAGGAGCTAGTGGGTGTAGGATTTGTATCTGAACTCACAGGCTTTACTTCTTGGTAAATTTATACAGCATAAAGAAAATATACGATATTTATATTGCTGCATTTACAAATAGTCAATTTTTAACAGAATATGAAATAAAAAGTTAAGAGAAAACAGTCAAGCATTTTGTATAGGTATGGAGGTTAGGGAAACAAAAGAGGCATTGTATTGGTTAGGGAAACAATAGAGGCATTGTATTGGTTAGGGAAACAAAAGAGGCATTGTATTAAGTTTACAGGTTTGGTTTGGTTTAACAGCTAAGGTCCTTTAAGGATGTGTCTCCATGTGTGTAGTGTAAGGGTGCTTCCGTGTGTGTATGCAGCAGACAGGGTGGGTTGGTGTGCTTGCCTCCTTTTGATAGCGCGGATCTGATGCCGACAATATAGTGCTATCTCACTTAAATACCATGCAGAAGGCACCCAGCACAGCATTCCACCTGGTCACATTATACTGACAACGGGTGAACCAGTTGTTGCCATTCCCCTAAATGCTGAACATTAAGAAGGGAATAACAACTACCATTTTTTAAGGATTTTAATTGGTATATCCCGGTCTGGGGAACCAATTACCTTCCTCACCTGAGCGAATGCTCAACATTATAAAGCCAAAAGTGAGGTGTTGCAAAGCAAGGCACTAGGAAATAAAAGGTAGTTAGAAGTTGAAGTTTTACCCCAAATAAAAGGCAATGGAGGAAACACCATATCAATTTTGTTTTTTAAAATAAATTAATGTAAAGATATGGGGGTTAGGCAAAATGCCACCTTCATGTGCAAGAGTTAGAACAGAATAGAAGCATTGTATAAAGTTTCACAGAAATTTGACCCCAGATAAAGGGCAAGGGAGGTAATATCATACACAATCCCCCACCCCCACCCACACCTCGACCGCCAATTTATGATGGGTTTAATTTACATAAAACTCGAAAATGGTTGATTTAGAGTTACAATGTTATTTTTGTTTTCATTGATATTATATGTAACAAGTTAACGATTCAATTGCAAGTATGACATCATGGAGGTGTAGACAACATTGTGATACACCTCTTTAAGGTCGACTATGACACATAATGCACATTTCAGAACCACCACACATCAATACAGTGCAGTAATCAACACATGTAGTGGTGACAGATGGTGGTGAAACTGTCAGATAAACAATAGGCCAGAAGGACTCAACACTACAAATCAATACAAACATCTTTTAAAATCGGCTACAATGTGGGATTAACATCAATCAATTACATTATTGTATTTAACTCCAAGGACATATTATGCTAGTACAACAGTGACATGTACCTTCTTTCAAAAAATATTCCTTCGAAGAAAACCTCTAAAATACTGTTTCTGAATGGTAATATAAACCATTAGATAAATGATTGCACATTTGAAACAGTGGCATGTATTTATTATGATAAGGTACTCTAAACTGATAACAGGATGTGAATAATATATATGTACTGAAAGCAAGGAAAAGTGGGGTGGGCTTATTACCAGGCATGGGCTTATCATCGGTAACATACGGTTCCTATATAAATGATAAGAGAGGAACTGGTATATACATATGTTTATGTTATTACAGGGAACTATTTAGAATGTGCTTTTAAATTAACCTTAGTTACCAGGTATGTAGCTAAGAGAAAATTAACCTTAGTTACCTGGTATGTAGCTAAGAGAAAATTAACCTTAGTTACCAGGTATGTAGCTAAGAGAAAATTAACCTTAGTTACCAGGTATGTAGCTAAGAGAAAATTAACCTTAGTTACCAGGTATGTAGCTAAGAGAAAATTAACCTTAGTTACCAGGTATGTAGCTAAGAGAAAATTAACCTTAGTTACCAGGTATGTAGCTAAGAGAAAATTAACCTTAGTTACCAGGTATGTAGCTAAGAGAAAATTAACCTTAGTTACCAGGTATGTAGCTAAGAGAAAATTAACCTTAGTTACCAGGTATGTAGCTAAGAGAAAATTAACCTTAGTTACCAGGTATGTAGCTAAGAGAAAATTAACCTTAGTTACCAGGTATGTAGCTAAGAGAAAATTACCATTTCTATTTAGCTGATTCATTATGAAAAACAAAAAAAATATATCAACATGTCAAAACGAAAAATAAAATGGGGTGAATCAAATCTGAACCAGCCAAAATTGAAAACATGTGACCTCAATTAGATTTGAACCAACCAAAATAAAACAAACAGACACAGTTAAATTTAAACTAGTCAGTATCGGGTACATTTAAAAAACAAAAATTAACTTGTAAAATATCAAATAATTTCAAAAATTAAATTTGCATACCCTGGCCATACAATAATCCCTATTTAGATGGAGTATATAATCCACATGTCAGTGTCGGGTAAGTGGTAAATACATATGAAGGCCTATGGTTATTAACTTTATCTGTGTAGACAGCTGTTACAATGGATTGACAGTTATAGCCACAGGCACCGTCCGATATTAGCAAAACCTGGTCAATCGCAGGGATAATAAACATACCCTCTATTTAATGGAGATGTGTATCTTTGTCAGTGAAACAGCCCCGTAGCATATAGAAACATGGATCGTTACAATTGTCAATGAAAGTATTAATGCATGTTTGACAATATGTTGTATAACTGTCAGTAACAGAATATGTGCTTCTGTCACGAGAGCACGGGACTGTGTCTAAACAGCTGTACTCATTTTTTCTTGGTGTAAATTTGTAATTTTCGTTCAATATTTTATTGATCTTGATTTTTCCACTCCATCCCCTGCACAATTTCCTGCACCAATAACAGAAAATGTATTATAATTGTGTTATCACTACTGTTTTTATACGTACGTCTCTTTTGAGAGGCTGCCTGCAGAATAGCTGTGACAATATCTGCATTATGTTGAACTTTGGCCTGTCGTCTTTCCCGTCGTTTAAGCTGTCGGACAAGACGTGAATTAATGACATTGACCCGGTGTTTTAACTCGTGAACCAGCTGTCGCAGCTGTGGTACACCTGAAATTTAAAAATGTTTATTGAATTATATTTAATAAGTGTAGCTTCAGAAAATTATCAAACGCACTAAAAGAGAGAAAATATTCCACTGTTGACATATATCTGTATAAATAAACAAACCAATTTATGTGGACTAACCAAACAAACAAACAAATTGACTAATAAGGTTCCACTTTGAACTCAAACTAATGTGTTTGAACTGACAAGTTACATTGTTATTACAAACAAAAGTGTCTGGACTAACAAAGTTCCACTGTACACAAACAAAAGTGTTCAGACTAACTAGGTTCTGCTGTACACACAAACCAAAATGTCCTTACTAACAAGGTTCTACTGTACACACAACCTAAGTGTACAGACTAACAAGGTTCCAATGTACACACAAACCTAAGTGTACAGACTAACAAGGTTCTACTGTACACACAAACAAAAGTGTACAGACTAACTAGGTTCTACTGTATACACAAACCAAAATGTCCTGACTAACAAGGTTCTACTGTACACACAAACATAAGTGTACAGACTAACAAGGTTCCAATGTACACACAAACCAAAGTATCCAGACTAACAAGGTTCCACTGTACACAAAAACCAAAGTGTCCAGACTAACAAGGTTCCACTGTACATACAAATCAAAATGTCCAGACTAACAAGGTTCCACTGTACATACAAATCAAAGTGTCCTGATTAACAAGGTTCCACTGTATGCACAAACGAAAATGTCCTGACTAACAAGGTTCCACTGCACACACACACAAAAGTGTCCAGACTAACAAGGTTCCACTGTACATACCAATCAAAATGTCCAGACTAACAAGGTTCCACTGTACATACAAACCAAAGTGTCCAGACTAACAAGGTTCCACTATACATACAAATCAAAGTGTCCTGATTAACAAGGTTCCACTGTATGCACAAACCAAAATGTCCTGACTAACAAGGTTCCACTGTACACACAAACCAAAGTGTCCAGACTAACAAGGTTCCACTGTATACACAAACCATTGTCCAGACTTACAAGGTTCCACTGTACACACACACAAGTGTCCAGACTAACAAGGTTCCACTGTACACACAAATCAAAGTGTCTTGATTAACAAGGTTCCACTGTATGCACAAACGAGAATGTCCTGACTAACAAGGTTCCACTGTACACATTAAATTTAAGTGTCCTTATACTAGTTAACAAGGTTTCACAGTATGCATTCACTAAAATGTTCTGACTAGCACACACAAACCAAAATGAGTCTGACCTGACCAGGTCAACTATATACATATAAACTAAAGTTTTAAAATTAACACAATTCTACCAAAGTGTCTTGAGTAACCTTAATTAGTATCCAAATAATTTACAAAAGGCTTTCCTATAATCACAATTTCTTGCTACACGAAGGCAGACTAACAGGTTTCCTTATATACAGGTACAGCCCCTATAGACTAATATGGTTCTACTTTTCCCTCAGACAAAGGTCCCAGTACATTAATAACTACATATGTCTATCAGATGATGAAAATGTATTGATCATGTAGAAAAATAAAGTGCTGAAATATATAACTCAAAGTTTTGCTCGATTTTAAAAGATATGCAAGCTTTACATTACAGTATCAAACAGTCATTATACAGTACAGCTCAGATCTAAACAGCACACCATACATTACACCTAGGAATGTGATTGATAGGTAAAGGTACGTTTAGAGGTATTCTTTTATCATGAATCAATGAATTGATGCTGGCTACTTCAACTTAAAAGGCTGTCTCTATCTTCCATCTCTGGTATATATATGCTCATGGACGCTCCATTAAACCTTACTGGTTAACATTTTATGTGTAATAGAAATACAATTCTACCACAACAAACGGTTGATGTTTTCATCAGGCATGGGGCAATTACATTGGTGATGTAATTAATCAAGTTACAGATTACTTTGGAAAAGTAGCATTATACCGTTACCATTACCATAACATGGTTTTCTTAATGTAGTTAATTACCATTACAATAATATTACCAATGTAATTAATTACCATTACAATTACATTGCCAATGTAATTAATTACCATTACAATGCCAATGTAATTAATTACCATTACGATTACATTACCAATGTAATTAATTACCATTACATTGCCAATGTAATTAATTACCATTACAATTACATTGCCAATGTAATTAATTACCATTACAATTACACTGCCAATGTAATTAATTACCATTACACATTACTTTTATTTAATATTCTGGGTATATTATTTTTAATCCAAGCGAAAAAAAATACAAGTTTAAATGACATATTTAGCTCTATTTGTTACTAACCTGTTGTTTGTGTTTCATACAGGGAATTTACATCACTACATATATATAAAATGTATGTATACACATGTACTCAACATCAGATGTTCAAAAGTTTCGACATTTAGACAGCATCTGTCTGGGCGGACCTTCCCGGCTAAATTGAATATTCTCTCGACTGAAGATGATGGGATAGTCAAATACTTGATGGCAAGTTTTGACAGAACTGGGTATTGGACAGAGTTTGTTTGCCAAAATGACAAACATCCTCCATGTCAATACAATTAGGTTTTCTAGATATTTCTCTACTTCCTTTGGTGCCAACCCAGATTGGTGTCTATCCTTGGGGTTGCTGGCAGAAAACTGAAGAAATTCATCTTGCCTTAAAATACCCTGTTGTGTGTTTGGGAATTTAACAATGGCTCAAATGTGGTTGTTCAATTTTTCAAGTGAATCCTACCTTTTCTACGAGCATGCCTTTTACCTTGTTATTACTCTGTTTTTATACTTATATTTGTCGTAAAAATAGCCCCACAGAGAGCTAATGTTCAATGTAGGTGTAATTCAGTGTTAGTACTGTTCATTGTAAGTTCACCCTTACAAAGATAGAATGTTCTGAATGGTCTACCCAGTTGTGATACATGTACTCACTGTGTGGCAATCTTTTGTTATTAAAATCACAAGTTACCTGGTCTCTGGAAAGGAGGACAATAGCTAGGTTAGGAATAGGGGATTAGGGTCAATACAGGTGTAACCTCTTATTACCTGTGACCTTACATAATACATAAATGAAGTAACTGTTGATCAGTTAGGGCAGTTAGCAATAGTGAACACATTGTGACTGGGGATCCAGAGTTTGAATATTAGTCAGCTGGCCCCAGTATATTTTTACTCTTAAAGACATTGTTGTTGATATTTTTTGTTTTTCTTTCATCTTCAGTACTTTTTATGTAAGTTCTGGAGTACATTTTTTGTTCAGAAATGATTTGACAAAATTATAGTCATGTTAATAAAAAAAGTTTCTAATTCATGGTTACAGGGTTTGGTCCATTATATCCATTGTGTGGTTAGAATTTGTGATGGCAGTGTAACATGAAGCCTCTATCAGAATGTATGTGGAGATTTGTGATCTTACTGATCCTAAATGCAAATGACAAAAATTGTACATAAATGTGGTGGTGAATATTGTGTACTAGCTGTGTATATTAATACCTGTAGTATTGGAGTATCACAGTATACTGATATAGACTACTGAAGCATGACATCATACTATTTACCACATCACACCAGGTTTATTGACTTTGTAACGGGACTATTAGAGGAAAAAATATCTAACACAGGCATAAACTAACTTTTCATTTGGATTTCTTTGTATAAATTGAACTTAAATGTACAATGTAGTTTCCCTATTACATGAACATCATTTTTAGAATTGAATGTTTTTAAGAGCAGTGATTACTTACCTTCTATCAAAGTTTTTTAACCATTCTTATAACATAACTTTTAATAGTAACTGATAATTTTAATTACAGTACTAGTAGGGCAGAATACATTTTATTTATAAGCTATATATAACAGCCTTATAAGTTTCACAGTACATTCAATGTACATGTTCTTGAATGCAACTTTTTTTCTGAGTCCACTAGTATACCCGTAGGATCGTAAATGTTACCGTTAGTGAATTAACTGCTTATTTTAAGTTCCATGATATGGTAAAATATATCTAGGTTTAAATTTTGTAAAATTCCACATACTTTGTGCTTCCAGAGTAGCTTGATGAATTCTTCCAGAATGGGTGGTTTCCAGATGAATAGAAGAACGGCGCCAGTGGAATATATCGGATGTACTAGAGCATTCTGTGAATGTATCACTCTCAAAACTGTCATGTCTGCCATCGTGCCAACGGTCATAAATCTCGAAAAGTAAATCATCAACCAAAGATGACTGATGTTCTAGGCGCCAAGTGCTGTGTTGAAATTTAATAATCCCTTTCCCTCCTGAGTGATCTCCCCTTGGACCAGGGGAGGGGAGGGACAACACAGAAGAATGTGTTGCCATGGTGACTGCATCAGCAGAGACTTGCAATTCTAGAGGTTTCAATACCCCTTACATAGATACAATGTACATGAAATCACATCTGAAATTATTAAAACGTTTAACAAGTTATGATATCACTTAATGGACAACACCAACATAAAGCATGGACAAACTGCTGGTCATAATAGAGAACTACAGTTGATGATGAGATTCACTTTGTGACATTTTTGTCGTTTCCATATTCCAGGTCTATACCAATACAGTACTATTAATTTTAAAAAAAAACGTCTCAGTCGTGTATTTTATCCGTGGAATAATCTTGTGACATAATCCAAACAGCTACACATACTAACTGTAAATAACTGTTAGCAGTAGCCTTAGTAGGCATGAGGTCTATACACAGAAGGCCTATTCAACCGTTAAAACCAGACTAAATGTATACAATTCTGCTGTATCATAAAACTTCTACCAGATTCCGTAGCTAACGATATTCGGACAGGTATTTTCTAGTTGTGAACTTCCGGACAACAATTTGTCAGCAGACGACGTTAGTCAATATAGGGTGATACATTTCCTTCATATGTTGACGTGTCTTCGTATCGTGGTGGGACGAAAACATCTGTTGCTCGTCCGTGTCGACTAGACGTTCCCCTCATATCACCACTGTACAGGCATATCAATAAATGTCGAAGTGAATTTCGTACCTTCAAAACTGAAGAGTTCTCCCAACGCAGCCCAACTTTCGCTTTACCTCCGACCGGACACAGTAGTGTCAGTGATAGAAACATCCCGTACGATATGTATATTTAAATCGAAACAAGGAGAGAACACTGTATGAAAGTTTTGAAGATGATTAGGGATAATATAAGTGTACGAGAAAAATATATACATGTATAATGCAAACAGGAGATAACTCAGAGCTGCATGTGTATAAATTAACGTTACTACGTCATACGTCGTTAGTCATTTTATGAAATACATGTAAATGACATCATTCGAAACGTTTTCTTCATTTCATCCACAGGCCAAATGGGTTCGTTGAAAATGTCCGAAATACACATGCTATACTGGTATGGGTCATAACACATGTCAACATAAGTTTATGGGTGCTGTGACCCATAGCAGTCATGTATAGCATACAATGTAAGTTTACGTTTGCTGTGACCCACATCAGTATGGCATATGTGGTATTTCGGACATTGTAACGAACCAATGTGTTTCATTTTGACACCTCCTGATACATTTTACTCATTCTGAACAATCTTTTTCCATAGTACTTGAAAATAAAACATATGAAAAGTGTTCCATTTTTTGGTACCGTTCTATTTTGAGTATCAGAAAATGTGTCGAAATAATATTTTTTAAATTTGTTTCTACGTTTTGGGTTCCTCTTTAATGATTTGACTTTAAAAAGAGACTGATTCTTGATTAAAAAATTGTTAGGCATATGGGTAAAGATATAAAACATTTTAATTTAAATGTTGTTATTTGCATATTCATAAATTACGTAGTAATTTGACAATGTACTAATGACTGTTTTATGCAAAGATAAGTCTCCAATATAATCTCTGGACTTGTCACGTAGAAAGATTATATTGTAATTAAATCCTACTCAGACAAGTTCGAAATGATGTTATTGCTCAAACGTATCATTCAATTTCAAAAACCTGAAATATTTTACATTCTGAAATCCTTTGGAGGTTTATTTAGTCGACCACCCGCCTCTTCAAGTTTATGTTAATTTTAAAACCTATCACTCGAAACTTTGGACAGAGTGCTTGCTGGATATGGTTGCAGGTTAAAATCATCCTGCACCAGTGTCTTAAACCACGGACTTAGATCTAATCTAATTCCGTGTTTAAACGAAATAATTTATTTTCATCATTCGGGATTGCAGTTTATCAAAAATAACTGTCCAAATATAAAATGTGTTTAAGGCATCATTTAAAAAGCTACACCAGCTACATGTATACGTTTAACCTATAAGTAAATCCTTAATTAGAGATTCTTTAATTAATGGAGATTCTTGATTATTAACAGTATACATACTTTGGTCGATATTTCCTCTTCCGTTTCCATCCCTGTAACAATTCAGTTGTACTGTAGCCTCGCTATAAAGTCCAGCATTTTTCATGTGGAGGGCCCGACTTGATTCAAATAGAAATGTATGTGTTTCCTCCATAAACAGGATGACAATTTTTCATGGACCTAATCAAACGTCAATTATGCACGACGGTATATAATCACGAAAAAGGGTCAGAACTCAATGTAAAGTGTTACTAAAACACAATTTTCCCCGCGGCGAACTCCCGAGTAGTGCTACTGTTATTGTGTTTCTATCGAACATTTCCACTATTCACATTCAAAAGTATTTAACTGATTAAACAGCCAAAGGGATCTAACCTGACCCGCACTCTCGACAATGCAATAAACAATAACAGGTGACAAACAAGTGATGTCAATGTGATTGATTTGGAAACAACAAAGAGAAAGGAAATGAGGTAAGATGGGCGGAAGAGGGGACGAGTGGAAGAGTTCCGGTTGAAATAGTTGTTCTGAAATTAGTTACAAACCTTTTTGTCCATGTTATAAATGATTATACAGCAAGTATGATGTAATGTAAGCATTGAAGGGTATCAAGATGGGGGACTAGATGAATACAAATGGTCAAATGGACATCAATTAAATAATCTTATTCGCGGTTTGAAAATTGTCAGCATACAAAAAAAAATTAACACAACTTCATTCTATCATCGCAACGGCAGGTTGGTGAGAAATAAATACATTTTGTACAAATATGATTTCTCTACAACAAGGTCAGTACATGGAATATATACAACCCACAAACAATCTTTAATCCAGGAGAGTCAGTTTATCTGTCATCATATTTTAACAACAGGCTTTGACTTATGCGTAATTGAACTTACCACAAAGGTAGATTATCCAAGTCATGAACTTACCACAAAGGTAGGTTATCCAAGTCACGAACTTACCACAAAGGTAGATTATCCAAATCATGAACTTACCACAAAGGTAGATTATCCAAGTCACGAACTTACCACAAAGGTAGGTTATCCAAGTCATAAACTTACCAATAATCTTTTAACATAGACGTGTATAGACGACCAATAAAGTTTTTCTTGTCCACTTCATCCATTGCATCTGGAGAAAGCACATCATACCTTATACTTCAGATACTTGATCACAACACCAATGTCTTACGAATAATATTTTAGTTCTCTGAGCAGCTGTCTTGCCGCGTTAGAACCGATACACGAAGTTGGTTCCACGTTTAAAGGAGGAACTGGTGTAGATATACTTGACAGCATCACTTTTACAGAATATGTGACAACTCAGAAGAATGAGGAGAAGCACCAAGTTTGGAACCATTTCCAGATAAATATCACCAAGGGACCATGGACACCGAACGTTGCATCCGGGAAGTTCGTACAGCCAGCTGAAAAGACAAAATACAGCCCCACCTTTTACCCATCGTCCCCAACCTTTTCATCATCGTCTATTTATTTCAGCATATTGAATCAAGAGAAGCATTCGTATTCGAAACAGTGTCAAATGTGTAAAGAAGCGAGAAACAATTTGATGCAAGAGAGCATGATCGGTACGACACGGATTGGTTATATTTTGCATGTTTAACGTTTATTTAACAGCTTAGGTCATTTAAGGACGTGGGGGTAAGACAGGGACACGATTCAATTAATCATTTATATATATATATATATACATATTTATAAAAAAAATGTCTGGGGAAATAAAATCATGATTTGAAAACAATTCTATTAATAAAAGTGGTAATAAATATTGTTCATAGATTTATGATATGTCGTGTTGTTCATGTAACACATAAGGACTCAAAATACATAGCGACGCTTCCCGTTTTTGTGTACGTTCCAGCGCTTCGTCATAATCTAAAAAATGGACGAAACACGTGAAAGGATGCACTAGATTAGCAACTTCATCATGATAAACCCCTCTGTCGAAAAACGTGTTCCTAATTTCACAATAAATGTAATAATAATGAATTACATGTCTGTGAGTAATTTGCTATAACAATATAATGTTTCATAAATTAACACTAGGTGAAACGAATCCAATTTTGAGATAAAGCTAGCGAAAATGGAAAACTGATTTTTATAGAATAACTGGTTAAGTGGTACACAAGTGGTATTTTTATAGATTTGGTTAAATTATACTGACGGGAAGTCCACCGTGCTGACAGTCAGATATCGTAATATTAAAATCTTTTTAAAAGCTATTTCTTTGTGTTTTGTAATGCTATACAGCCCATGAAAGATTAAAGTCATTCGGTGCCAAATGCAAGCTATTATTAGAATTAAATATTCATTTTTTCTATCATTTTTATCGACTTATCTCAAAAGTATATAAATAAAAAGACAATCCAGAAATTTAAGTTAAATTGATATGGAACAGCATATGGTAAGATAAAGTCAAAGCTCATACCGTTTATGTTGTTTTAGCATCACGGTCTTCACATTTTTTTATGTTTATGAACGATTCGACGCCGCAGGAGTCCAGATTTTATGTTGAGTGTAGCTATTGTTCTACGGGAAGTAACTCGTACATTTAGATAGCTTTTTACGACATCAGTGTGTATATCGCCACAATCTCATACTCATACGTAATATTGTGTTCCTCTGACACTATCACTAGGAGCACAAAGACTGCAGCACCCACTGGGAATTTAAATACGTCGATGTAGAAAGCCAGAGTAAACATTATAACACATCATATGCCCATTTCGTTCATTTTGAACTCACATTACACACAAAAAAGTAAAAAGAATGAAAATTCGATGTTTAATGTGCTCTGAAACATACGTATACAGATACATTTCACTAAGGATTGTAAGATAGCTCTCTGTTAGTCTGATTTCAATCTACATACTGTTCTACACCTCGGCCGTTTTGTAACGAAAAGACATATGTCTGTAAACTTGCGCGTTTGTACAATAGTTTTATCCTCATATCATCTAACGTGTTCATGATCAATTGTACTGTAAAGTCAGACGTTTTATGAGCAGTAAAATAAAACTTCAGCGCAATACGCTTGATTATCCTGTCATGGAGATAAGGCAAGCTGGGTTTTTTTTATTCACAGCGGGTCTTTACAAGGAGCTGTGAAGTCTTTCTCATTAAAACGAAAAACTCGTTCCTGTAGTTTCTTCATTTTACATGTTGCCAAGGTGAACGAATTCCCCACTAGAGGGCAGTAATAGCAATTAAAATACGAAGCTATGAAATATGATCATTTTAACAATATTTTCATAAGATAATATACAGTTTTGTAGATATATGGAAAAAGTGCACACCAAAGTTCAAATCGGAGTCGATGGCACCTTTACCGTAGCCCTTTCTACAAATAAATCAGCCAATATTGAAAGATAGTTTTTCACAAGACATTTTACCAATACATTTACACTGTAGCATGAATTGTTACGGCTTTGCTTTCATAACGAAATCAGTAAACCAACTGATCACTGATTATGAGATTTTCGTCTTGGAGGACTTAACATACATCGTTGAAACAGTTAAATATAGTAAAAAACGTAACGTCACTGTCCCCCAAAACGGGACACTTAATGTTTTATTCCATACTATAAATTCCAAAAATGTTTGTTCATTTTTCATAAATAGCTATATACTATCCACTTTTCGCTTTTATATTACAAGTTGTTTTTTTCCGGCGCGTGGTTTTATAAAGAGAACGCAAAATATTATTAGGGTCACGTAGTTATAGGCCCTTGAACCGGCGTTACTTTACCGTGAAAGCCACATTTTGGTATTTTGGCTTATATTGGGAGATAAACGATCAATATCAGCAAAAATATATATACATCGTTCAAATGTTTGGGAGTCAAAGGGAGTTCTGATGAAATATCTTCTCCAAACTATTATTAGTTTTGATAAAATATTTTTTTGAAAATGATATCCAACTAAAAAGCGTCGCACGGCACTTAAATCAGGACCATTTCGATTTTGCAAAATTATTCTTACCTTTAAATTGTCCGTGTCACTATAATCAGCAGCCAATAAAGCTTAAATACAAATTGTCATAAAAGTATTATCAAGTGAATACTAAAGTACTTCTTTGCATTCCATGGCAGTTTCCTGTGCCATTTCCAGCAAGTGTCCCGTTTTGGCTACAGTGACGTTATAACGTTATTAAGGGTTTTATAGACACATACCCGTTTTGCTATATTTT